TTAAGAATAAAAGTGGCCCATGGGTAAAAAAAAAAAAAAAGGTTGAGAATCACTGCACTAAGTCATACAAAGGGGTGGCTTTGACACTGTCATCTTCAGCAAGATGTTGCTTATATACACCATAATGTGTCTGTAGTAACTCTACAAATGAGTTTACTGCTTCTGTCACTCATATAAGGGTATCTGATGCTACTTTCAACATGTTCACAGTCCTCACTCTCACAAAATCATAAAAATATCAGAAAGCAACACCTCTGACCAGTAGGAGCACTGAGAAACAAGTGTTTCAACATTGTATTAAGCATGGATTGTGTCAATTCAAGTTTTAGCATCAGGCACAACCTTTGTTGTTCTGATGACCTCTATGAAAAGAACTTTCAAATTTGAGATATTTTCATGTTTTAAGAATTTTGGATAAGAGATTGTGCATCATTCTACATTAGGTTTGTACATGACTGTTGACATTTCTACAAACTTATCGAGTGACACAATATGGGACATCGACCAAGTCTGGCACAAGTATGACTTTTATGTTGTGCTATACATCAAAGTTGGAAAGATCTATAACTATCTCATCTAACAAACAAACCCAGTGATATTTAGGTCAGATTATTGGAGCTTCTACAGAGATGTGATTTTTTAAGTTCTGAGATATGCTTTATGGCCAGTATTTGTACAATATACAAATATTGTTCTTTTGGTCCAAGCATTTATCAAGGATTCCCTGTGAAAGAAAAAGCAAATATCTTAACCCTATAAGCCCTGAAGAGTTTTCATTGTTAAATCTCTGGAGTCCTGAATAAAAAAATTGTTGAAAATTCTGAATATATCATATTATTGCAATTAATGTATCTAAAAATCATTGGAAATCAAGTTCATTTTATATGAAAGTAAATTGATTTCCCTTTCAAACAATACCAAATTTAGCCTCCATGGTATAATAGGCTATGAGATAAGGGTTTTAGAAATATACAGCTTTTACAAAATTGTAGATTTTCAAAATGTTGTATATTTTTGGCACCTCCAGTTGACCATGTAATAGGTGTTAATGCTGTGTATTGAAGTCCAGTACTACTCAATTGCAGGTACATTCAGGCACTCTCAGACTGGTGCATTAAATAAAAATGTTTGGCACTTGTAAAAGGATTATTTTCATATTTATTTCTTTATAAATTGGTAAATGATAAATATTGCATTGCATTAGTTCTAACTGCATTAGTTTTTTGAATGTTGTAATTATAAAATTATTCTTGTAAATAAACAACCTAATAAATAAATAGTGTTTATTATTTTTGTTAATTCTTAAGAACAAAGAAAATGTATAAATTCACTTTCATGTTTAGGTTTTATTCCAATTGTAATAATCACTTTTTAAAACAATAAACATTGCAGAAGAGTGAAGGTAGTTAAAAAAGCAGTCTCTTTAACATTTTGTCTTGTGGGCACATTTATCCATTTTTGCCAAGCTTTTTATGATTTGAAAAGTGGAATTTAATATTTCAATTTTATATAGGAAATAAAAAACTGATACTGATTTTTAATTTTCATTTCAAGGAATAATTGAGGGTGTTTAGAATAAAAAAAAGACAAATCTTATGTTGTTCAAATTACTTTAATGAAGTACTCTCATGATTTCTTCCTGACTTTTTCTCTTTCCTCTTAATTTCATTATCTGAGTAGTCATAGATATAATAGTCCTAACCAAATTTCTTACATTAAAGCTTTCTCCAATTTAGCAGTAGTAGTAGTAGTAGAAGACATAACAGTTTTAACGCATTCTCCATTATAAGAAAAGTCATTAACATCCCCTAAATTGTTCAGGTACTAACATCTCTTTTTTGCATACTTGATATTGTTAATACAAAACTTCAGTTGATTCATTCTTCAGACCTCATCAGGTATAATCCATGGGAGAAAAAGGAACCTTCTTTCTGTAATAGTAAAACAAACTGGCAATAGAAATTGTTCATTGCTACACCAACCAGACTAATCCATTTAACCAAGAACCATGTTGATTCCAATTTATAATTAGCACCCACTTTGTTAAGAAAATCACATAATGTTGAAATCCATAATACCAGCTCAACTTACACACATGATAGATAAGTGGATATACGCCATCTCCTTCACCTTCCTTACTCCTGTCAATTATCTGGAGCTTATCCCAGAGAGGGTAATATACACTCTTCTTCCTCTAGATATAGTCCACCACACCTTTAATTATTGCTTTCTTATTTTTCTCAAATCAGACTTTAAGAGGAGGACTGGTTTTGCCATCTTACAACCTGTACATGATATATTAGAAGTGTATTTTTTGTAACCGAGTAGAAACAAAAATTAGTGAGAGCAAGCAACACAAAATTGTACAAGGCCATGATCACCCATATTATGTTCTCTTATATAAGGAATATTTACTCTAACTACATAATTACTGGGTGTTCTCCTCTTGTTCATTGCCCTTGAAACAACCCAAGTTGAATAATCACTATGTTGGAGCGGAGTTACTTCTTTATTTGCTGTGTCCACTCATGACGTAAGCAATCATGGATTTCCATAACTTCCTCTACTTTGTAGCTCTTAATAAACTTTGTCTTTCTGTTATTTCTCCTAAGAATTTTTCTGCTGTCTGTTTACTCAAACTCACTAAATACATTATGTGTTGTTTTCCTCTGTCCCACTTGTCTCCAATCTGCCCTGTGAGTATCATATTTTTCAAGCCCTCCTTCCTCATATGCCCTTGAAACCTCAACTGTCTCTTCCTGATGTTAAATATTAGTATCCTTTTTGTTTCCATTTTCTCCAAAACTTATTATTCATAAGTCAATGTTTTTCGCAATAAAATCGGTATTAGCTAAGTGATAGTAAAATGTTCTTGTTATCAAGTCATCCTTCTTTTCTTTTTTTATCATTTCACCCTAAAAAAGGCAATAAAGCCACTAACACACAATGGGGCTACTGGGAGTGAAATAAAATGAGAAACCCTTAGTAAGGAGAAAGAATAATAAAAGAACAGGATTCAAGAAGATTGTGATTGACATTGCATTTAAATTTTTTGAAGATTGTAGATATCAGGGGAGCAAGAAGCTAGAAGTGGGTTCCACAGGCAAGAAGTGTGAGAAAAGAAACTATTAAAGTAGAACTTATAGTTATATCTTGCTAATTCAACAGTGAAACCTAGTTGCCAATCTAGTAGTATGCTGTCTAGGCACCAAGGAGTAAAGCTCATTAAAACAATTGGCATGAAAATATTTATAGAAAAGACAGAGAGAAGCTAACCTCTGAGCTTTCCTGACAGTGGCAAAATGATTGAAGTTGAGATTCCAGATCAGAACCAATTACGTTACAGACAAAACTTTATTACTCACATGTTGCATCCATGGTATTCTCAACATCCTTCCGTAAAACTATATTTCTGTTGCTTCAAGTCTCTTCTTCATTTATGTAGAGATCATCCAGCACTCACTGCCATGCAGATGAAAAGATATATCACATAGCAGTTTAGTACTCTTTAATGTTCCTTAAATTTTCTTAGGTTTCACTAAGAGAACTAAATTCCTTATATAGAATGATGTCTAGAATGAGACATGAAAACTGGCCAGAGGTATTAATGGTATTTCCTTCTTGTGTTTTCTTTTTTATATACAGACAACTTTAGCTGAGTATGAGTATGTTTGTTTAGTGGCATATCAACTTCTTTTGGGTCATTTAATGCTATAATTTAATTTTCTTGTGGGCAGTAGTAATTTTTTTTTTATAAAAATGTATTGCTGATAATTTTTTTTACTATGAAAATGTATTGCTGGTATTTTTACTATAATTTTTTTTTTATACTTTCATACTGTTTTGACCTCAGTTTAGGAGTTAATTATTTGTTCATAGCTGGGGCCCTAATAGGTGCTACCAACCAGGGCCAGGATAGACCTGGGAATAACTACAATTAATAGATGGTTCCATGCTTCTCAAAACCTCCTGATCAGAGGCCTTATTGCTGGATATAGTTTATTGTCATACTCAGGATGGACAGATGACTTTAGATCATTACATTTCCTCTAAGTGTGAACAAACAAACATTATAGCATAGAGTAAGAATCAAACAATGAAGAATTAACTTACATAAATAAATCTGAATGATGCGTACTCGTCAGCTTTTATAGCCTAACTGATAAGGCACTGTGTTGGGCAGACAGGTTCCCAAGATTAAGGGATTTAAAATTGTCTTGTTGGAAGCTTATTTATTACTAATCAATACTACTTGCATAATGGTTGGATAATGTGAAAACCTGAATAATAGAATAAATCAAAAGTAAAAGTACCAGAAGAAAATAACTGCAAACATCTCATGCATTTCTCTCAGGCTTATTCATGCTTTTTTATTTTTTATATGGAATAACATCTTAAAAAAAATTAAGTTATCAACAAAGATTTAAGGTAGCCTCAAAATCCTGACAATACTAGGTAATGCTGATGATTTAACTTGCAAAATTTAAAAAAGAAAAACAAACATTTTTTTTTATTTGATTTATATACCTATTTGTACCAATAAAAATGACAGGGTCAATTTTCATTAACCTGATTAATAAATTATAATACAATTAATTTTAATCTGAATAGTGTAATAACCTTGCTTATAATCTTTTCATTGGATTTGTCAGTGTTCTCATTCTTCATGAACAAAGAGAAATGGCCATACAAAACATCTATGATTAAATGTGGCTTTTCAATTAACCAAAAAATCAAGAAAATTTAAAAAGAAAATAAAGATGGAACAAGTAAATGAAGAAAGCAATTTTTACAACAAAGGAGAGTTCTGTTAAAGGAATGTAACTCTGGTTTAATTTGCACCTTTATAGCTTGAGATTTAATATCATTACAAAGATTATGTGATAAAATATGGGGAATGGAAAATTCAATTAAATTTCCTCATTTCAATGAGAAGAGAGATAATGAAAAGGAGAGAAAATAGTAGCAAATTCAGAGTAAAAAAAAAAGAGGAAGGAAAATTAGAGTAAAGGCAACTTGGAGGAAAACAAGGGAAAGAAATAACAGAGGAGATGAAGAAACAAAAAGAAGAGGAATAGAAAATAAGGAGAAACAGAAAAAAAAGAGACAATGAGAAGAGAAGAAGAGAACAATAAAAAAGAGAAGAAGAGAACAATGAAAAAAGAAGAAGAAAAAGAGAATGAAGAGATGAGGGGGAGAGATGAAAAGAAGAGAACAGTGATGAAAAAAATAAGAGAATGGAAATGAGAAGAAGAAGAGAACAGTGAAATGAGAAGAAGTAAAATTAGAAATGAGGAGAAGAGAAAAAAGAGATGAGGAGAAGAAGAAAAAAGAGATGAGGAGAAGAGAGAGATTGGGAGATGAGAGGAGAGAAAAGAAAATGAAAAAAAATAAGAGAGGGAAGAAGAGAAAAATCCCAAAGAAAAGGTGATAAGCATGAAGAGGAGAAAAAGGAATGAAAATTGAGTGTTGGGACAGAAGAGTAAAAGAGAAGAGGAAAGGAAGGTAAATGAGAAGTAGGAAGGAAAACTAAAAAAGAACAGAAGAGAATTTTTTTTAAATTCTCAAGTTTATAATTAATTCTGTGGTCTTTCCAAAAAAGAAAAAAAAGAGAAAAGAAGCCATGTTTCCATTATGATACTCTGAAGTATTCAGGTAAGAAGTAAAAGAAACATGAAAACTTAGATGAACTCACACCATATTCTCTATTTCTCAAACATAAATGGCTGTAGCAAAAGAAAAGACTAACTAAATATGATAGAAAAAAATGTAGTTGTAAAATTCATACAATTATTTTGATGAGTGAAAATTTACACTGATTCCTCAAGTTTCCTCAGTTTTCTATTAATTTCCCTTAATAATAAAAACAGTAATAATATCTATTTGTTGAAAAACCACAATGACTCAATTTTATACATATTTTAATTTTACAGTAAGTCAAAAACAATGTAATAAGGTAGACTTCCAGGACATATAAGTAGGGGAAGTAATTCTAACCTACTTAGTATCTACAATTTTGGACTTCATCTTAACTGTGCATGGCACAAAACCATAGATGTGGAACAAGGAGAAATGAACTCACTAGTGTAGTAACAGATTGCAAGACACACTTGGTAAACACTATTCCATGACATGGTGCTCAAACTCGGCTTAATATCAAATGGGAAAAGACCATAGACAGGAGATATTCAATGAGTACCGAATTCTCTGTACAGCAAAACTAAGACGCTAACTATTGTTTCACAGCAAAGCATTCATTTTGGAGTTCATATCATTGTAAAGAATACTTAACTTTGTTGCAAACAACATTCCATCTTTTAGCATAGTATATCTATAAATATCTTCTATGCACTATTTTGGCAATCATGGCTCTTGGTAAATTTTATCTTTTTGCTATCTCTCTTAAATCCTGTTCTGCCAATCCTTTATATGAGCTTATCAGGTAGGTTAAGTGCTGTTCTCCTCTATCCCTCTTGCCTTCAATATATGCTGTAATTGTCATCAAGTTTTAAGTGTCCTTTTTGTTACCATTTTCTCTAAATCTTTGTCATTGCTGACATATTCAGTCCATGGTAGTCTCAAGCATCCTTTTTTAAAAAATATGTTAAAATAATTTGAGAATTCTTTTTTAAATTTGATATATTTTGCTAATAATCCATCAGAAAAACAATTTTATTTGAAGAAAATTAAAATCTACATTACCAAAATGGAATGTGAATTGTTAAGCATCTAAGGACTTTATTTTTAAATTTAACTGTATGGTTACAGACATGAGATGTTAATTCATTTCTCTTAGTTTATTATGGTTTAAATATTCTATATTGTTTCAGTATTAATTTAATAAGAGATTGGTATATATTGAAATCATATATATCAATCATAGGGGACTCATAAATCATAGCAGCGTCAATGCATTTTTGTCTGAATGAATTATATTTCTTTTTTTTAATAAAATTTAACCTCCAATTGAATTTATATATGAAAATGAAACCAGTAACATCTGAATATTTCTTGAGATTCTATTAATTCAAACTAAAACCTTTTTAAAAATAAGTATTTACTTTAAGTCAACAAATAAAATTGGAATAATTATAGGGTTTTATTTAAGAGCCCTTAGAATTTGCAGTTATTATCTATCCCAAGAAGAAAAACACATTGAAAATACTTTTTAAAATCATTCAATATCCTTGTTATCTAATATTAAATGTCAAAAGAAAAGTGTGCAAAATCCACAAAACTAATAAAAAGCACAATATATTACCTAAAATTCTATAACTACTGAACTGGAAATAAATTTAGCTAATCTCAATATAAAAAGGAACACAAACATTTTAAAAACAGTTAAAAATTTGATCAATGTAAAACAAAGTTAATTTTACATCACAAGCAGGAGTTTACCAAAAAGAATGTAAACAATGCCCAACCCCTCCCACAAAATATTGGAAAAAAATACATCCCAATATATATATATATATATATATATATATATATATATATATATATATAGAGAGAGAGAGAGAGAGAATATAAAAGGGATTAGAATTAAACAACATACTATATGGAGTTGTGTCACCAAAATGCTAGGGAACCCAATTTAACCTGGAATTTTATTAGAAGGGAATTCTAATTTATTTAAAGATGCATTGACAATCCCATGATCTATGAGTTTTGTCAATAATTAATATACTACTGGGTTATTTCAATATATCCTCTTTTTCTAACTAAATCATGACAAAAGTTAAATAGGATATTGCAAAACAGAGTGAAATTAGTTGATACTGCCATAATGATAGAGTTAAATCTAAAAATTGAGTGTTTAGAAACCTAACATAAATCACATTTTGCTTTGATAATGCAGATTTTGTTCATCTCACATTGTTCTGATGAAACTGCATTATTGAGGAAATATGTCAAAGTAAAAAATTGCAACAGATATGAGCTTAAATAAATAATTAACAATCTCAAGTAAAATTTCCCTTAATATAGTGCCATTAACTCAAAATAAATTATTAACAAACTTAACAGATAAATATGGAGACACAGTGGAGTAATAGTTAACAGCTTGGATTGAGGAATTGGAGAGCAGAGTTCAAATTCCAGTCGAGATTGTTACATTAAGGGCAAATACCCTTGGGAAGGTATGAATCCATCTCTTTTCCCCCTAGCTATGGGTAAATAGTAGGATAGACTGTGTCCTATAGCTTAGAATGGCAACCAGTCAAGGAGAACAACAACTATGAATTCAAAACCTCCAACTAAGGGTTAAGTAGCCTCAGCAACCAGCAATTAGCCAAGTGTGGTGAGTATGGCTACACCCATGAAGACATGATCAATCAAGGAGTGTTCCTTCAAGGAGTGAAAAAGCCCTTAATCTGTATTTGCTCTAGTAAGCTTTTATTCTTTTTAAACAGAAAAAGCAGATATTGCAATTGATAAAGGCAAAGATACCTAATACTTTTGAATATGTAGTATACTGGAATCATTTTTATAATTCTAAGATTGTGATATCAAAGGAAGCTGTTCCCTGAGAAAAAATTTTAAGTCAATATTTTTCATTTTTTTTTTTTTTAAATAATGTGAGTGCATGTCTTTCACTTGTTTTAGAAATATGAATGCATACAACTGATGTTTTATTTGTCAAATTCACACAAAAGAGAATTCTGTCACTGATAAAATAGCTCAAATTCATGACTTCTTTCATTTTCAAAATACAGATTAGATATTTTTTTTTTTTAATTTCTTTTTTGCCAAATCCTATATGCTTTTAAAGATCAGCTTTTATGCATAAAAAAACTGATTTCTCAAGAACAGTCTCCTAGGCAATACCTTATCACTGTACTCAAATATGGTATGGTCAGAAACATTCCTTGATATCTGCAGTTCTGTAACAAAAACTGAACAATTTTTTGAAATACCTATCCTCTAAAAGTGTGTGAGTCTCCACATAAAAAAAGACTGTCACTTTTGCTTTTTTTTGGAGGGAGGGGGAAGTAAATACATCACATACTAAGATTACTTATCCCTGGTCGAGCTGAAGGGTTTTTGACCATTTGTGGCTAGAGATCTCTAATAATAAATATAAGCATATCTGTTGAAACCCTATTTCTCAGGCAGCACCTGCCCACTACATTAAAAGAAGTCAAGTCAGAGGGATGTCCTGATGCCTGTACTAAAATCTTTTTTTCTATAATCTAGAATATCTACAAAATGTTCAATGATAGGGAGTATATTGCTTGTTACAAAGGAAATGAATTTAGTCCATGTAATGCTGGATGTCATTACTAGTACAAATACACACACATGGGTCACACTGAAAGTAGTGCCTCCTATTCAATTATATTGGCCCATGGCATTATAGGAAGATGCTAGTAGTATGACAATAAATGTTAAACCTTCCCACAAATGACCATTATTTTTAAATTTTTTGCCAATAATTGGTAGTGTAGTAAAATGGCATCTGACATGAAAGTATGTACAAAGCAGAAGTGTATCAATGAATCCTACCATTTAGAAAAAATTGCACCTATCAGCGTTTGCTGAACATTTACAAAGACCAATCAGTGGATGTCAGTACAGTTAGGAACTGTGGGTGATTTTGGGACACAGTTATCATATGATATAATATGGATCCTCACGTTCAAATAAAAGCAAAACTTTGTAACAGATTTTGTCCTTATGACAAGACAAAAAAAAAGAACCCTTCCTGCAATGTGATATTTTTTTTATCCTGAGGAATATTTGTATATGTATTTTATATCCATGTTCTCTGATTTAAAAGGCTTTATAAATGATATGGCTGAAGTAGAGCAAATAAATCACTACAAGTTTATAGAAAAATTAAAAAGAAAAAAAAAACATTGTTTTCAATAATTTGTATATTCTGGTCATCAATTATTGAAAATATTTACAGAGTGTCGTATGCAGATATGTTCACTATAATCAGTCTAAAATAGTTTCATTAGTGTGTTCTGTTGGGAATATTGGGATTTGATAGTCCAGTCCTGATTGTCAGTCATTTTGTTTCCTCAGCAGAATAAAATCTTATTTATTTTTATGGCATTTTGCCAGGGAGAAAAAGCACCAGTTATATTATAACACTGTCAAACACCCATGAGACATTAGTTACGCACACTATTTTGGCATCTATACCTTACAGGCATTTTCAAGTGGTTTAGAGGCCAGAAAATTTGCTTTCATAACCTCTTTAAAGGCTCTGCCAGCAATATTTCATATTGAATAACCTTACATGAGGGAAGTTTCAAAGATAATGCCACAAATTTATTTCCACAGAAACACCACTGGATAGAAAGTTTTCAACTATAAAACACACTTTGTCTACATAGACATCCAAACTGGCAATGCATTTTCATCAGTGAACTTTTAAAACTGATGAAGTGCACTTGTAAAAATCTGTACCAGCAGAGGTAGTCAACTTTTTTTCATAGAGATAGCAGTTATAACAGCCAAAATGAATTGTCCACATGCTCACATCCACTGATTGGTCTCTGTAAATGTTCAGCAAATACTGATAGGTGCAATATTTTCTACATGGAAGAATTCATTGATACACTTCTGCTTTGTACATACTTTCATGTCAGATGTCACTACATTGTCAATTAATGGCAAAAAATTAAAAAATAATGGTCATTTGTGGGAAGGTTTAACATTTATTGCCATACTACTAGCATCTTCCTATAATGTCATGGGCCAATATAATCAAATAGGAGGAATTACTTTCAGTGTGACCCATGTATGTGTATTTGTATTAGCAATGACACCCAGCATTACATGGACTAAATCTCTTTCCCTTGTAGCAGCAATATACTTCTCTATCATTGAACATTTTGTAGATATTCTAGATTATAGCAAATATTCAAAACACAGTTTATGTACTGAACTAGTCAAAATGTTCATTTAGTTTAAGTTTAAAAAATAAGATATTTTTATTTTCAACATTAACTAAAATGGCATTTATTATCTTCTACCATCATGTGTCATTTTTCTTTGTAAACCACTTTTGACATATTCTGTCATTTACAGTACCTTTTCCATAAACTGTACAAATCTTTTTTGTGTGTGTTTGAATTATAGTTTTACATCTCTTGAAATAAACAAATATATTATACATTAAAAATGTTGCTTATTTTCTTTTATTTTCAATGTTAGACTCCAAAAACAAAAATATGCATACTTTAACAGTTTTTTTGAGAAATGCTCATGTATAACGACTGCTACATAAAATTAAAAGATGTTTTTTTTAATGGTAAGGTAATGCACCAAAGTATCATTTAATGATAAAAATAAAAAACAACTTTTTAGCCAAT